GGAATTGAATGTCATCAACACTGCACCTGCTCAACTCTCCATAATAATCATGCAGTTCTACAAGTGTTGGAGGAGCTCCCATACTTGGTTAATGTGTTCACGACCAGCTCTGGTTTGGCAGCCAAAGTCTCACTTAAAATTAGTTGAGCAACATTCTTTCATTAGACTGCATACCACTGTGTTTGGTACTGGCAAAGGAGGTCCCATGATGTAGATGCTCACCCCGAGCTCTCATTACTCTGATGGTGCGTTGTCTTTGTGCTGTACGCCTTTTGGCGTCCTCTGGTCTAACACCGTTTGAGACGAGGCTCAAAAGAAAGCTGTCTCTGGTGTGGACCAATCAGTTTAAAAGACAATGCATATATTATCAGTGTTTTTTTTGCATTCTGACCACAAGCATTGTGGTTAATGCAGACATGATTCCGTGTAAAAGGTTTCAGTTTGATTTTTTAACATCTTAACACCTGTTTTGTTTCCAGAAAAAAGGGGACAAACCTATCATGTGTGGAAGGTGCCTAGACTTTTTCTCCATACAAAGCTGTGAGTCTCCATCTCCAAGGTCTAGTCCATATGAGACAATTGAAAGCCACTTACATGGCGTTAAATTGCACCTATGATGGTATTAGCACTGTGATAAGGTTACTTCCAATTCGTTATGAATACTGGATGTTTTTTCCTAATATGTTTATGATCCATGTGAAATGTACGTGTATTTAAGAATTTATATTTGTGGGGAGCGGTGGTGCAGTTATTTCACTGCATTATGAAGTCAACAAATAGATTGATTATCGCCAACAGCAAACACGATTGATAAGTGAAAGCTGAATTTTTGTGGGCCTCTGCTATATTGATTGATCTTAAATTATTGAGACCTCCTTTTCCAGTAGCAAGATATAATAATAGGTTTTTACCCTTTTATCTGGCAACAAAACAACTCACCATCAGAGTATTGAGAGCTCAGGGTAAGCTTTTACATTATGAGACCTCCTTTGCCAGTAGCAAGATATAATAATAGGTTATACTCTGATGGTTCGTTGTCTTTGAATTGTGCACCTTTTGGCGTCATCCGGTCCAACACCATGTGAGACTGGGCTCTAAGAAAAGCTGTCTCGGGTGTGGACCAATCAATTTCAAGGACAGTGCATACATTCTAGATTTAAAGCTTTCGTAACTGCTAGGATCCATACTCTTTGGTTCTATTGGGTAAAGTCACGTAGGTGAAAATAAAATAATAAAAAATCACGACGTTTCGGCCACAACACAAGCGGGCTTCATCAGGTGAAGGGACGAGACTGTCTGGAGGACAGCGCTGGAGTGGGAGAAGCCACGCTTAGATCACGACTTTTTGGCTGTGTGAGAAGAATTTAAAAAAACAGAAGTGATATAGTCATCCTCTCAGCCGATAAAGGCAACGCAACTGTTATTATGGATAAATATTCATACAACAACAAAATCCAGAATCTGCTCAACGATGGAAGTTACTCAAAAAAATGACCCTACTAATAGCCTAGCGATAAAAACCAACAAGATCATCACAAGTTCGACCTCCCTAATCGACCCAACTAAACGTCCCTCCCTAAAACCTTCTGCTGCAAGACCCCCTAGATTCTATGGTGTTCCCAAGATTCATAAAGAAGGCACCCCACTTCGACCCATCGTATCCACGATCAACTCCCCTACCTATAGCTAGCCCGTTTTCTGTCAGATACCTTGCTGCCTTTCACTGGCAAGACCGCCTCAGCAGTACTTAACTCAGCCCAATTGGTCTCTATGGTCAAAGACGTACTGTCCCCTGACGATATCCTTGTCAGCTTCGATGTGGTCTCTTTGTTCACCAAGGTCCCAGTACCTGATACCATTGAAATAATTGAAAATTTGGTCCAACATGGACTAGACCCCGACACACCTTCACTGGTTAGGCACTGCCTCAACAATACCTACTTTACTTGGAATGGCTCCTTCTACAAACAAAATTAGGGTACCCCCATGGGATCCCCCTTATCACCAGTGATAGCCAATATTTTCATGGAGAAATTTGAATCAGACGCCATCCAGACTTCCACCCTCAGACCTTCCCTGTGGAAGAGATATGTGGATGACACTTTCGTCATTTGGCCACATGGCCTCCCAGCTCTGAATCTTTTCCTACACCACATCAATTCTAGACATCCCGCCATCAAATTCACCATGGAAGTGGAGAAAGATGGCAAGCTACCATTCTTAGATGTTCTGTTTGAGAGGAGACCTGATGGCTCATTGGGGCATTCTGTCTACAGGAAACCCACCCACACAGATTCCTACTTGAAACCTGATTCCCACCACCACCCAGCCCAAAAGAATTATCTCATCAAAACTTTATACCATAGGGCTCATTGCATTTCGGACCAACACCACCTGACCAGTGAATTAAAACATGTACACCTGGCCCTCAAAAGGAATGGTTACTCTGACCGTACCATCCGCCAAGCTGTCTCTCCCTCCATACAGAAACAACCACTTGATACTCCGGTCAAAACCATCACACTTCCATATATAGCAGGAGTTACTAAAAGATTTCCAAAATTCTAAACAAACACAAGATCCAGGTCTGGTTCAATACAGTACACAAAATTCGTGATCTGATCCCATCCGTGAAGGATGTCATTCCTGATTTACAGTACCCCCCGGGGTTTACAAATTGAGTTGTACCTGCGGTAATTGCTATGGTGGGACAAAGCGACATGTCTCTGACCGAATTCGCAAGCACAAATCAGATTTGAAACACGGCAAAACGAATTCTTCTGCCGTGGCTGATCACTGTTACAACGCTGTGGGGGATCACGATATAATTTTCTCCGATACCAAGGTTCTTTGTAAACCCACGGGCTTTTACCAGAGATTTGTTCACGAGGCAATTCAGATCTACAAACACAGACACAATTTCAACTGAAAGGATGGTTTCAAATTAAGCAACCTTTGGAAAGATGTTCTAAATCGAACTAAACATTAAACTAATTTCAATGGTACAGTATATTTTTTCAAGTAGTGGTACCCCAAACTTTTGCAGCTCTTATAAATTCCCCTTTTCACACCATCAATAGGTAAACTCCCCCTTCCCCCCCCCCCCGCGCCAAACGGCACGTACACCACCTCTTTCCTAAAATCCGCCAATCAAATGCTAATTTTTATGCTAATTTCTTTGTCAGAACACCTTGTTTGCTCGCACACAGTTTAAAGGTCCGCTGTCTGAGCGTGGTTGTGTTTCGCTAAATTCTTCTGTTTGATGAGTACTAGGTGCCTCGGTGAATGTATATGCTCTAACTTTAACATAGCTATTTCTGTGAACAGTTACAAGCTAATCGCTCAGCTATTTCAATGCTAAATTCTATGCTAATTCCTTTGTCAAGGGGTACCTCTGCGGATGTGTATACTTTAACTTAGCTATTTCAATGAGCCATTTCAATGCTAAATTATATGCTAATTCCTTTGTCAAGGCGCTTGGTGTTTTTCTTCTCACACAGCTTAAAGGTCATGATCTAAGCGTGGCTTCTCCCACTCCAGCGCTGTCCTCCAGATAGTCTCGTCCCTTCACCTGATGAATGCCGCTTGTGTTGTGGCCGAAACGTCGTGATTTTTTGTTATGTTATTTTCACCTACGTGACTTTACCCAATAGAACCAAAGAGTATAGTGCATACATTATTAGTGTTGTCTTTTTGTTTGCACTTTGACCGCAAGTGTTGTGGTTAATGCAAGCATGATCCCTTGTAAAACGGTATCAGTTTTGTTGCCAGATAAAAGGGTAAAAACGTATTATTATTAGATCTTAAATTAATTACATGGTGAAATGAGGAAGCATTAATACTGAGCAGATGAAGGTGGCCAGGCATGGTTCTAGACACACAACCACCTTTTTACCATGCCATTGTGTGACAGTGTCAAGTTTGTATTTGCAGTAAAGTATATTAACCATTGAACAAGGAGGTTAAATCAAAAGAATAGTTTATTTTAGTTTTCCTCTGGAACTTTTTATGAGAATGGAAATGGTCAGGAAAATATCTCCGCACATGCAGCTGAAGTTAGATATGTTCATCCGAGCATTCAAGCAAATCTGAGCCTTACTTTACACCTGGAAGTTTCAATTGAACATTAATTTATGCACCTCCATGTGGCGATGTCCGAGCTCTCCCTAGCTTACATTTAAAAGCAAATTTCTTACATTGACATGCTAATCTCTCAGAATACAATGGCCACCCCCACAACTTCATTTATCAAGATTTCTCCTATCTTACATTTACATGCAAATTTCATCTCTAGCCCCGCCCACTGACCCTTGGGCTACACCAATCTCAAACCTTTATAAATCCCTGCCTTAGCAGTGCTTCCACCATATATTTTTTCATACCTCATTAGCTCTCACCTGATGACGATTGCTTGTGTTGCGATCGATACGTCCTGATATTGTTATGTTTATTTTATTATACTTTTTCTATCTACGTGGCTTTACCAAAAGACCCAAATAATTTTAATTTATGCATTTCTGCATAATACAAATAGTATTGTTTTCAACACCCTTCGCTATGTTACCTGAATTTTTCTTAAATAAATATTTATTTCATAGCTAGACAGCCTATATTGTGTGCTTGGAGTTTTGGGTAAACATTCATTTTGAAGATACTCGGCCTTCTGGGCAGGTTTCTGACAACTTGCCGTCTCATTGTGTGCCTTAACAGCCCGTGTGATGAATTGGGGAATATTGTGAATATATTAATAAGTCTAAGACGTGTTATTCATGTGTGACTGTGTATGTATTTATTCCTCTGTGCCTCGATACTGATGTAAATGGTGTGGATATGTTTTTCTGTCTGCAGCTGACGCTTCCTCTGATGCTTCCTCTGCAGAATTGGTCTGATGGAGCAAAGGCACTCAGCGCAGCTCGGTACAAAAAGGAAACAATGCGACCAGGATGCAAACAGCACGGATCGTCCTGGAAATTTGACACAGCACCAGAGAACTCACACAGGAGAGAAGCTCTTCAGGTGTAGTGTGTGTGGGAAGGCATTTTCAGATTCATCTACTCTTAAAAAACACCAGAGAACACACACAGGAGAGAAACCCTTCCGGTGCACTCTGTGCGGGAAGCTGTTTGCAGTGTCATCACATCTTCGAAGACACCAGAGAACGCACACAGGAGAGAAACCCTTCAAGTGCACTGTGTGCGGGAAGGCGTTTACACGGTCATCACATATTAAAAAACACCAGAGATCACACACAGGAGAGAAACCTTTCAAGTGCACTTTGTGTGAGAAGGCATTTTCAAGTTCATTTAATCTTAAAATACACCAGAGAACACACACAGGAGAGAAACCCTTCAAGTGCAATGTGTGTGGGAGGGAATTTTCAATTTCATTTTATCTTAAAATGCACCAGAGAACACACACAGGAGAGAAACCCTTCAGGTGCACTCTGTGCGGGAAGGCGTTTGCGCAGTCATCAGGTCTTCAGAGACACCAGAGAACACACACAGGAGAGAAACCTTTCAAGTGCACTGCGTGTGAGAAGGCATTTGCATGGCCATCAGGTCTTCATAGACACCAGAGGACACACAGGCATCAGAAGATCCCCAAGGAGTGTAGTCTGAAATCGACTTGTGAAAGTCAAAGTGCTGCAATAAGCCCATCCCTTCTGATAAAAGAACCAGAAGTAAATTCCAGCTTGGACACTATGAAATGTATCAAGGTGAAATTTGAAGAGACGAAGGTAAAATGTGGAGAAATGATGGTGACAAGCGAAGAAGTGAAGGTAAAATGTGAAGCAGTGATGGTGAAGAGCGATGAAGTGAAGGTGAAATGTGAAGAAGTGATGGTAAAGAGCGAAGAAGTGATGGTAAAATGTGAAAATGAAGATTCAACTCCAAAATCGGACCATCACATCGATGGAGGCAACGTGAAGCAGGAGGATAATTCTGACTTTGAGGCAGAGTATGGCAACTCCGAGCAGTTTGTGGAAGTGGAGGTGTGGGTAGACTTCTTAGACAATACAAAGTCAAATAGAGACCGGGTAGATGTGTAAGCTTGAGACAATGAAGCTCCAATAGATTCACCTTTGTCACAGGCCTTTAATGAAAAGAATGTGAAGTTGAACACTCTTTCTAGGTTCAAACTTGCAAAGGAAGAGCGGCCAGTATTTGAGGACCTGCGGGTTGGGTAGATCTCTATCCAGGAGCCAGAGCCAATAAGCTCCCAAGCATTCACAATGTTTTCATAATAATATTAGCATTGATGAGGTGCTTGCTTAATCGCCTCAGCAACTCGGAGTTTTGTATCGTGTCTCATCACAAACACTTGAACAGCATGTTGTATATATGGCTTTTCCAAAAATTTATGTTAAGAGTGATTTTGCCTATTTTTTGTAATAATTTTGATCCGGATGTAGCGCTGGGGCACGGAGAGTCCTCCCCCCCCCCTCCCTGCTGCCTCCTTCCTTGCCACACAAAAGACAGCGAGAGGATACTTACTCACACGCCTGCTGGGGAAGTCCTAAAATGTAATTAAAAAATGGCAAACCCAAGGGGGGCTATGAGATTCTGCGGGTAACCCCGGTTGACTTCAAAAGAAGGCCGCCATAAAGGAAACAACCCACAATAAAACAAACATAAAACGGAAATAGCAGGGGTCAAGAACCTTCCTTGGACAGCACAATCCACCCAAGGGCAGTTAATCATTATGAGCTGACTGGGGTTTTTAAAATACAACAGAAGGGTTGGAAGCTTAGCTATATCTTCAACCTCAGGATATCAAAATATAACTTGAGAATAAGTAGCACGGATCCCTGGTGATACAGACGGGGAACAAAGGTTAACAAAACCCTCGGAATATCCTTGGTAACAACTATGGTATACCACAAATCTTGGTTAAGCATGAACCAAATCATAATTATGAAAGTATTAGACCTAGGGTCATTCAGAAGAGATACAATGCGAAATATGGCAATCACACATGACCAAGATAATATGTATTCCTATGGATCAGAGCCTCACCAACCACCTGGGTCTTCCAGTAGCTCACAGCACATGGTAGCAGTAAATTATGTATGCAGGGGGCACCTCCCCCTAATATATCAAATACCACGCAAGAATTCCAAACCGCGACGCGAGTGCTGTGAACTCTGCTCAAAACATACTCTGAGTCGCTTGCAGAGTAAAAACTGCAGAAAGTGGTACAGTTCTAAGCTATAAGGGGTGTACATTTTATTTTACTTCCAACCCGTGATGAGAGGACGGAAAACATGGCGACAGCAAGCACACCCGTGCACAATAGGTCACGACTTCAAAGTCACAGTGCCCCTTTTTGAGAGAGACCGCAAGTCTGTTGTGAAAAAATTGTAACACTTCCAACCTGTGATGGGAGTGTGGGGAATGCTGCCCAAAATGTGAATGGAAATAAAGACATCCGGATAACAAACAGCCCAAGCGACTTCAAAAGGAAAACAGCTGCCCATTTGTGAGAAGGAAAAGCCTGAGTTGGAAAAATTCAGATAAGCAAGAACGCAAGAACATAAATCAGTACTGCTCAACGAATCGCCCAACTGCGACTGGAGTAATCCAAACCATCAAGCACATCACCGATGAATGCTCCATCCATGCACATCCTGGCGGTATCGCTGAAATCCACACTGCGTCAACTACATCATTGGACTGGATGAGGAACATTTGCATTAATTTATGACGATCATTAAAAATGAAAACTGTTGCTTTTGACAATGCCATACGAAAGAAGAAGTACTGCGAGTGGCAAGCTCCGGTGATTTCCCTCGTGACTGGCAAATCCATAGGGAGCTCTGCATCGGCAGAAGCCACGCATCACGGAGAGGTTTTTTTGCATCATTGAGAGAGGCTGCCAGCCAAGGCTGGTGCTCGCAGTGTTACAACACAAACGTGGGGAAGAGTGCCGTAGCATTACTATTCCCGGTGGCGAGGTTGCTGTATACAGCCAACACGATCATAGAGTGACAATCGTTCCGATTGTGCTCCGATCAAAGTCAACCCTTCGAGGGAAAACTGGTGCAACCCACAGGCGAAGTTTAGTTGAGGGTAGAATCAGAGACTGACACGGAACGATATAACTTGATCTGAGCATGTCCTCTGTGCAGCACGAGTCATACAGACAACTGGAAGAGGACTCTCTTGAAGAGGGGGGGGGGGGGAGATGACAGGCGCTGTCTATCCAAGTCGCTCTACAGTCTTCAAGGATCAACAGTGTCTGGTGCCAAGGGGGGTGACGCACGGCAACCAGCGGACGAGCTGCGAGCGGTGTCTGGCGACAGGATGATCGCGCACATCGACGCAGACTGAGCCGGGCCCATCATCCCTGCCAGCATCGGCACCGCCGACATTGTGACCAGCGTGCCGACTCGACAACCACCCCAGCGATGGAGAGAGACTGACGAAGCAGCCGATAGTGCCTTGTGTTCGACACACACGCAGACCCAGCGCCCCTTCTGGGGACCTGAGGTCTTTTAAGAAACGCAGCACCTCGGAAGCTGCTAAGTCAACAGTTAGCAAGAAGACAACACACACCCACACACATAACGTGCATATTGGGACTAATAAGATTGCTCCAAAAAGTTATCTTTGTGTTTCTAAAAGGGTTGCGTTCTGAAGGTGGTGCGTTAACTATTAGCTGATCATGAAAAGCATTGTTCTGTCCCTTGAGTTATATGAATACGGTCGTTTAGAAGTATTTGTCATTCGTTCTCGTTAATTGCATAACCTTACCAATGAATGCATTGATGACACACTAAACACGTATAAGCATCTATATTACGAATCTACACACTCACAGGAATACTATTGTGTTTTGATCACAGAATCTTGCCCGCGAATTCATTGATGTCCCATTTGCCAATAGATAAGCATCTGTTAGCCAAACAGGCACACTAGCACTCACACTATTGTTTCAAGACATTTCGTTAATTGCATAATCCTACCAATGAATTAATTGATGTCTACTTTTGCCATTGGGCACATGTTTCTTTAGCACGTTTCGTATTAATATTGTTTTTTTTGTCAAGGACTTTTCCTATCGCCGTGTATGGTCGCGCTACTCTGAGGAATTAGCCGATTGTTCTGTTACTCAGTTTTAACAAATCTAAACATTGAGGGTTAATTGTATGGATCAATGAGTAGGACATCTTCAAAAGTACGGTGTTGACAATTACGATCATAAGTGTGTTCGCATAGAGTGTTTTTAGATATTAAAGTTGCTTAACATAGAAAAGTCTGAGTGGTTCCTTCCTAAGTTTATGCATAATAATCTTAATTATGGGAACTATCCTGCTGTGAGATCTGAATTCTGAGACCTGATAGAATTACACTAAAACATAATCGGTAAAAGTTAAAGCGAGAATCATTGTATTATCACGATTGGTAATACACCCTAGACAAATTACCCGTTTTATTCCATTATCACGATTGGTAATACACCCTAGGCAACGAAGCCGAGCCTTATTTGCATACATTTACATAATTCCATAAATTTGCATAATTTCATAAAATACACATTTTTTATTGTGTAGTGGGGTCAACTGTGTCGCAGACGTACTCTTTGGAGGCAACACATTTATCAATGATGTTAGTGTGAGGGATTAGCATGTAACTGGTCACGGAAGTATCTATGTTAAAGTCAGAGTTTACATATCAACAGAGGCATTTAGTATATTGACGCTAAAGAACTGCAACTACCCAACTATCATACAATAAACCGATGTGAAAGAACTAAATATAAACTACATCAATATAATCAATGTACTCAATATATTCTCCACTAAGCTGAGCTACTAACAATAAGTCATGATACATTACATGTCGCAAAAATTATTATAATATGCTTCCAACTAATCTTTTTATTATAAACTGCCATAGACAGACCCCAACATTGAATTATACACTTCGTTACTATACACTACCCTATACCTTAGATTATAATACATATTACACTGTATTATTTTACCAACCCTACTGTATACCACACTGCTGTATATTCACTGTACAATTCTGATACTATATATTACCAAATAAATTATATTAAACATTACACTGTTATACTATTCATTATTATACAATATACTATAAACCATACCATTGACCGTCGCGTGAAAGGTACTGAGAGGCAATGCCAGTGAATGGACTGCGGTCTGAAAGTCACCGTAAAACACATTGGAGAAACCAAACGACATGTCTCGGACCGCATCCGTGAACATAAAGCAGACTTGAAACACGGTAGGATGAACACCTCAGCCGTGGCAGATCACTGTTATAATTCAGTGGGCTCACATGACATTGACTTCTCCAAGACAGAGGTTTTCTGCAAGCCATCCGGCTACTATGAGAGATTCGTTCATGAGGCCATCCACATATACAAACAGAGACAATTTCAACCGAGAAGATGGATTCTGGCCCAGTAATCATTGGAAAGACGTGATAAACCATTTCGGTTCTTGATTGATTGTGTTTTACGGTGACTTTCAGACCGCAGTCCATTCGCTGGCATTGCCTCTTAGTACCTTTCACGCGACGGTCAATGGTATGGTTTATAGTATATTGTATAATAATAAATAGTATAACAGTGTAATGTTTAATATAATTTATAAGGTAATATAGTTTCGTAATTGTATAGTGAATATACAGCAGTGTGGTATACAGTAGGGTTGGTAGAATAATATAGTTTAATATTACAAGTCTAATATTATTATAGCATAAAGTATAGGGTAGTGTATAGTAACGCAGCGTATAATTCAATGTTGGGGTCTGTCTATGGCAGTTTATAATACGGGGTATAGTCGTGAGATGTAAGAAAAAAGATTAGTTGGAGGCATATAATAATTTTTGCGACATAGAAGTGTAATGTATAATTACTTATTGTTCGTAGCTCAGATTATTGGAGAGTATATTGAGTATATTGATGTAGTTTATATTTTAATTTTGTATCGGTTCACTATATGGTAGTCATATAGTGTAGTGTATATCCAGTTACTTAATGTTAATAGCTCAACTTATTGGAGAATATATTGAGTACATTGATTATATTGATGTAGTTTATATTTAGTTATTTCACATCGGTTTATTGTATGATAGTTGGGTAGTTGCAGTTCTTTAGCGTTAATATAATAATTGCCTCTGTTGACATGTAAACTTTGACTTTAACATAGCCACTTCCGTGACCAGTTACATGCTAATTCCTCACATTAACATCATGCTAATCTCCCAGTTACATGCTAATTTCTCACCTTAACATCCTGCTAATCTCTTAGTACCTTTCAGTGTAATGTTTGATAGAATGTATTTGGTAATATATAGTATCATAATTGTATAGTGAATATACAGCAGTGTGGTATACAGTAGGGTTGGTAAAATAATACATAGTGTAATATTACAAGTCTCATATTATAATCTAAGGTAGTGTATAATAACGCAGTGTATAATTAAATGTTGGGGTCTGTCTATGGCAGTTTATAATAATAAAAAGATTAGTTGTGAGGCATATAATAATGTTTGCGACATAGAAGTGTAATGTATAATGACTTATTGTTAGTAGCTCAGCTTAGTGGAGAATATATTGAGTACATTGATTATATTGATGTAGTTTATATTTAGTTCTTTCACATCGGTTTATTGTATGATAGTTGGGTAGTTGCAGTTCTTTAGCATCAATATACTAAATGCCTCTGTTGATATGTAAACTCTGACTTTAACATAGCTACTTCCGTGACCGGTTACATGCTAATTCCTCCCACTAACATCATGCTAATCTTCCAGTTACATGCTCATTTCTGACTTTAATATCCTGCTAATCTCTCGCATAAACACAGCTACTTCAATGCTAAATTCTTCTGTTGATATGTAAACTCCTTTGTCAAGGCGCTCTGCTCCTCCCACCCAGCTTAAAATACGCTGCTAAGCTTAGCAGTGTTCATTGGAGCGCTGTCTTTCCGACAGTTCTGTTTCTTCACCTGAGGACGGCTACTTGTGTTGTGGCCAACACATCGTGAGAATATTTTTTCATGATTTATTTTTATTATTTTATTATTTCCCTTCTACGTGACTTTACCGACAAACAGATTATCAATGTATCTCTTCCACAAGGAAGGACATAGGGTGGATGCCTGAATAGTATCTGTCTCAAATTTCTCCATGAAAACGTTGGCTACAACTGGATAAGGGAAAACCCATAGGTTACCTTCCACTTGTTTGTAGAATGTTCCATTCCAGGGGAAGTAAGTGTTGGTGAAGCAGTGTCTAACCAGGGCTGGTGCATCAGCATTCAATCCTTGTTGGACCAAATCTTCAATGATTGCAATGGTGTCAGGCACAGGAACTTTGGTAAACAAACTGACAAGCAAATCACTTGGAGATAGTGAGATGTCCTAAATTAATTATACCAAGTGAGCTGAGTTAAGTACATCTAAGGTGGTCTTACCAGTGAATGGTTGTAAGGTCTCAGGCATAAATCGGGCCAGTTTGTAGGTGGGTGAGCCAATGGTGGAGACGATAGGGCGGAGTGGTATGCCTTAATGGATTTTTGGTAAGCCATACAATTTGCGTGGCCTAGCAGCAGAGGGTTTTAAGGCAAGCCGCTTGGTTGGATCGACTAAAGATGTCGAATCAGTGATGATGTTGTTTTTTGTAGTATTTCTATTGATTTTGGTATAGCTGCCATCATTAAGTAGGTCCTGAATTTTGTTATTGTATGTGGATTTGTCCAAGATGACAGTGGCATTGCCCTCGTCGGCTGAGATGATGACTATAATCTCTCTTTTTTAGTTGAGAGAGTTCAAGGCACTCGTCGTTGCTGATGTTGCTAATAGGTGTCAGCGTTTGAGGATTGCAGCGATTTCCGATCTTGCTACGTCTGCAGGAATGTTTCCCAAACCCTTGAGGGCCTAGGTCGACCTGGGCAATGATATCAACTGGGATGTGTTTAGTGGTGACTGCGAAATTCAACCCTTTAGCTAGAACCGATTTTAGGCCATCGGAAATTGGGCTGTTGCTCTGATTGATAACAATCTTGTCACCATCTAACTTTTTAGTGTCTGGATCTGGCTTCTTCTTGGAGAGGAGGTTGAACTCGGGAATCAAGTTATCTTTGTATTTAGCTGACATTGAGGCGGCTGAAGAGGCTGCCATGTTATCTACATGGTCCCAATCAGATGTAGACATTTTTTCTGTCAATGTTATGTGTGATTGCAAGAGGGTCTTGTCTAAATTATCTCGTTCAAATCGGTGCAGTCTTATTCTCTCTGAGATCAGGGCGAGTCTGGCCCTGAACAAGATCCGTTTTGCATTAGAAGTGACAGCAACAGATGTGAGTGTAAAGGTGATCGGTATTACCGTAGTGTCACGGCATCTCTTCAGAAAAGTGAGCGACTATCAGAAGAGCCTTCTTGTCTCCAAGTTGAAAGATCTAATAGTTGTGTGGAAACCCTCCCCGTAGAAGTGGTTAAATCTTGACTTAAACATTTCGAGACTGCAGGAATTAATATTCTTTGAATCTTTCGGTAAAGCCATGTAGATAGAAAAAAATAATACAATATCACGACGTTTCGATCGCAACACAAGCAATCGTCTTCAGGTGAAAAAAGAGGGGGAAATCTGCTGAGGCAGGCTGTTTATTAAGGTTTAGAGATGGGCGGGGCAGCAAATGTTAATGTCTTGGAATTCATTTGCACGGTCATCAAATCTTCACCGACAACAGAACACAGAAGAGGAGCCCGTCAGGTGCACTGTGTATGGTAAGACGTTTGCACTGTCATAAAATCTTCACAACCGCCAGGAAACACACGAAGAAACCCTGTCAAGTACACTGTGTTTGAAGGCCTTTGAAGTGTTTTGAAACCGAAACATGCGTAAGGACATCTATAAGGAGCATAGTCTGCATTCGAGGTGTGAAATTCCAAGTGCCACAATAAGCCCATCGCTTGTAATGCAAGAACCATAAGACATTTCTAGCTTGGATAAATGGCCAGGAGGAAAGGTGACAGGGTTTGATCTCCAGGTCGTCGATAAAGGCACCTGAAAGTGCGACGAGAGGTTAGACTGAGGGAACCCGGGACATATCCCAGCCGATTGTGGATGTGTAAGTTTGGATGGAATTTTTGAATAATGTATAGTAGGAGCAGCCAGTATGTGACCATACGTGTTGGGTAGATCCTGTAACCAGGAGGCTGAGACATGCACCTTAGGATACTAATAATATTTGTATTCATATGGTGCTTGCTTAAT